AAGATTGATTTTTACCAATTTGGGGGAATGAAAGAATAATCACAGAAGAAATAATACAGAACACATTTTCCTGGTTGTATGATTGCACATTTATCTGGGAAAGGTTTTGTGCTAAGTGCAGCTAAGATGTGAACAGCGAGATGCATGAATAAAAACACAGAAAATGAAAGATTTGGTGACAGAATGAGTGAGGGAGGAGTGGGTGGATGAGCTTAAAATTCACATCTGTACTAAAAACACTCTGACATTTCGTTAAAATCTCCCTATAATTTGCAGGTGACTTCTACAAATGTCAGAAAAACCATTGCTCATCTTTTAGGTTAATATTAGATCACAAAAAAAAATAGAATGCTTACATGAAATTCTGAATATATCTTCACGAGACATTCAGAACTCATAACACACTTAACAAAGAGTTCAGGACAAAACTACATGTTGAACAGTAAGATATACACGTCAGTGCACCTATTTCAAATTTATTTTAAGCAGAGGAAAATAGTTATTACATGTTGGTCCCATCTGTGGCTCGGAGACCTAGTATTCCCTCCCCGGCCTCTTCTCCTGTTTTCTCCTGCTTGTTATCTGGTTTTCTTCATTAGCATTGCTACTGTCCAGGGATAGAAAGACAGAGAAATGTTTAAATTAGTTCATTTTCCTGGCTACTAATGAACAACTCGATTAATATTTGATTAGAAAGTGCTTTAAATGAAATTATGGATTTCAGCCACTCACGTCAACCCCTGATATTCCAGTTCAGGGAAAATAAGAATTAGTGAGTTCACATCAAAGAGATGAGTTCTATTTTTATTATGTAAGCTAATGTACCAAATTCACCTCACTATTACTAATTAAAAAAATCATTCTACATATTTGATGCCATATTTTACATTGCTTTTGAGAAGCCAGCATTTATGATACCAATAAATAATGACATAGTACTTTCAAGGTATTTTAAAATCTGAAAGTTGGTAGAAACATTGAGTAAAAATAACTACTTATTTCATGCAAGTGGATAAAGCATCTTGGTTTTTGAGCATAGATCAGTTTTGTATCTGGAAAGGAACTGAACAGCTGGAAACCCCACACCCAGGGATTCAACTCACCACAGATCAAAGGTATCTAAAAAGCAAATTCTATCCATATAGACTTTTTTCTTATCATGATTCTCTAAATAATACAGTGGAACAAGTATTTTCTTAGCATTTACATTGTATTAGATATTATAAAATAGCCAGAAATGACTTATGGTCTCTGGGAAGAGGTATATATAATCTACACAAACACAATATTTTGTGTATAGGAGCAGAGCATCTAAGGATCTGGGGGGCTTTTGGGGTGTATGTGCTGCAAGTGAGGAGGGAGGGGATAATGTGTGTAGTGTGTCACCACCTAGGGTTACTTAAGAAATTTTTCATACTGTTCAGTGTCAAAAAGTGAACAGGAGAAGCAGTTCAGTTCATTTCAGCTCAATTAGACAAACACACCTGTGTGTCCCCTGTGGTCCTGGCTTCTGGGTGACCGTCCTTGTTACACATTGCTATCCATCAGCTCCGGCTTCAGAGGGCCAGTGACACAGCTCCCTTTGTATTTGCGCGTAGGCAGCAGTCTCTTGATCCTGCCGAAGTCTAGTCTGACTCATTTTTCGTTGCTGGGTATTCAGCTTCTCTCACACTGAGGCACTCGCTCTCTGTATTACATTTCTCATTCTCGACTATACCCTGACTGATACTCTGAAGGTCAGAAGCAGACGTAAAAGTTGGAGATAAAATTTCTGGACTCACTGGTGAATCAGTGGTACAGTCAGCCACCTAGGTCAATGGGAATATCTTGGAATTCAATCAAGTAGACATAAAAAATATTCAGAAAAAAATGACATCTGTAGGGAACATGTACACATTTTTCCTTGTTTCAGCATTCACTAAATGATGTAGTGTAACAACTGTTTATATGGCATTGATATTTGATTAGGGATTATAAGTAATTTAGAGATGATTTAAAGTAGATGATAAGATGTGCTAGATTATATACAAATATTATGACAGTTTACATAATGCACTTGAGCATCTGTGTTTTTGGTAACTATGGATGGCCTTAGAGCAATCTCCCATAGACACCAGGAGACTACTGTATTTGGAGACAGGGAATTAGAAATTTAATCCATAGAGGGGCACATGGACAAACACCTTTGCTGGCCCATGGCAGATGAGTTTGTTGTGAGAAGCAGGACCTGGAGATGGGCAGGGAAGACACGCCAGGGTGACACAGAGGCACCAACAGAGTGACACTGGACACGTGGGGAGCGGCTCCCTGCCCTGCGTGCCATCCTTTTGATTAAGGCAGGCATAGAACGGTACTATACTTTTCAGTAAGAATTTCATCACAACAGTTAACATAAATGGTCTTGGAATAATTCACTTGGAAAATTCCATCACACACTACACGGCTTTAATTGATGATACAGACAGTCATGTAAAGCATCCTTGCTCTCTAAAAGAACTTTGCACAACAATGGAATTTTTTAAAATTTCAGCCATCTAGCAAGGCAACCATCAACTACAAATTACTATTGTGCACTTGAAAGACGGCTAGTGAGATGACAGAATTTTAATTAATCTACATTTAAAACTAAAAAATCTAATTCCATAAAGTTAAAGTCAAATTAAATGCCCTAACATCTAATTTATTTAAGTTTAGATAGCCTCTTCATTAGATGGATGATGTCCATGGCTCTCTGGCAAATTTGGTTTTGAATTCAAGATGTGTGTGTGTGTGTGTGTGTGAGATGGGGTCATATTGATGAGCCTTTAAATCCCCCAGTTATCAACTCTGTGATCTTGGTTATATCACTCACCTTCCGTGAGCCCAAACTTCTTGTTCAAAAGGTAGACATACTGGGCTGGGGATTTAGCTTAGCGGCATAAGTGCCTGCTTTGCAAGCGCGTGGTAGTGAGTTCGCCACCAAAAAACAAACAAGCTGTGAAACAGGTAACACTGCATAACCCTCAGGGGCCGCTGCCAAGGGTGGAGAGACTGTGTCCAGCGACTGTGTCCAGCAGTGGACCAGCCCTGCTACTTAGAAGTTCTCTGATCTCTTGGCCTTATTGAAAACGTCCCTTTTCCTGAAGGGAGTGATTGCTTCTACAGGTAACATAGCACACTAGCTAGTGAATGGATATTTATTTGAGCCCTAATTAAATATAGTTATATACTTTTAGAGACAAAAGTTTCCTTCAAACAAAAGAATTCCAAGCACAGGCCAACTGCCCACATTTGAACAAGACTGGATACAAGAAAACTCCTGCACAGAAAAGTAACTTCACCGTCCCTGAAGGCCTGTAGCAGACCTTGAAATTCTGTCTGGAAAGGAAGAAATGTCCTCTATCAGCAAACACAGGACATTATACAAGTATTTTTCACTGGAATAACTGATAAGACAAAACATTTATTAGGATGTTTGGTTTAGATATTTTATTGTTTTCTCTCTAGTTCTCTAACCACATCTTTTATTGGTTTTTGGTTTTGGTGAGGGGAACATTGGGATATTAATTCTTCCCTGGACAAAAATAAAGTCTAAAGGAGACCCTTACTCCTATTAAAAGTTAGAGCTTCTCATTAAGTGACCTCCTTAACATATAGTTCATTATCAAGAAATGATTTAGATAATCAAAAACCTGGAGCTCATTGGTTACAGTAGTTTTCAAAGTGTGGATTTTAAATGCTTGTTTTTATAAGTGAATACTTTCAAAGCAAAATTTTAAATTATGTGACCACTTTCAGAGATGCCTGTAGAGCATCTCTGATGTCAGTAGGAATGCTTCAGTCTCTGTTGCTCAGGGTGGGTTTTTCCTGGCAGGCTCTGTATCAGTGTGGCTGCCTCCAGCTGCCAGAAGACACACAGAGGTGTGAGATACCTGATAGTGCTCAGGACAAAGGTCCTCTCCAACTCTGCGGCCAGGAGCTGAGATGTACTTTAGCTGACTGGACTGGGTCACTGCCCTGAAGTGGCAGGGAGGTTTGCTCTGGCCATACTTACTGGGAAGAAACAATTCCCAAAAGGAAGGAGTTTGGACACAGATGTCAAAAACAAAAAGAAAATCCTCTTCCCAAGGAAGGAAGCTGGTTGAATTTGCTATGGAATGACAACAAGCAAAACCTTCACCACACTGTTACAGACTTGTGCAGTAAATGGAGATCTGGGCATCAGCTATGATCACTAGGAAAACATTAGGATGCCAGGGGAAAGCTTCACGTTAAACAGTGTCATGTCAGCACTTCAGATGGTATTCTGACAAACAGTCCAGAATTTGTTAGAAGTCTGAGTTTTATTTATTTTTGAACCAGAATGAAACAACACAATTTAAATACATATAGAATCTGTATTACAGACGCACTTTCTGAGAAAATGGCATGGAAGACATCGTATTTCAAATGTTATAACAATTAAGAAAATCATGAATGTTTTGAGACGAAACAATTACTTTGTGAATCTTTACCTCATTCAAATTCGGTCATTTTGAAAAACATGTATTTCTTGTTTTAGAGTTCAAGGTTGCAGCACTGAGTTAAAGATAACAACTCTTCTTTCTCAAAGAAAACCAAGTTATTAAGCACATTTTTAAAACAACCAATGTATGAAGCAATAATACATTAAGAAATGAAGAGGACGCACCCCGACCTATTCACTTAGTTTTGAATCAGGAGCCTGGCCCCACAGGATTGAGGGAGCATCTCCTTTGAGGTTGTAGTGGGGCAGCACCGGGTGGTGGTATCAGCTGGGGACCAGCCTGTTACCGGCGCTGCTGGGTCTGGTCTGGCACCGCGGAGCCAAGCGGCGGGTCGGTCCCCACGGTGCAGCCAGTCCCCCAGGTGGCGGGGTGCAGGGGAGGAGCTGGGCGGTGGGGGGCGCGTACGCAGTGGGGGTGGAGGGGGTGTGGCCAGGGAGGCGGGGAGGGTCAGACGGGGCGGGGCGCGCGGGGGCGTGCTCAGGGCCGGACCGCTCCGTCCCCGCCCGCCCCGCGTGGCCCGCCCCGCCCCCACTCGGCGCGGAGACGCGCGCCGCCAGCCGGCCCTCGGCGCGTCCTGGGTCCGGCCCCGCGGCGCTGCAGCCCGCCCCTCGCCGTCCCGGAGCCGCGCGGCGGGCCGAGGTAGGACCGGGCCTGGGCGCGGGGTGCGGGGCGCGGGTCCGGGCTGCAGCCTGCAGGGCGGCACGGGCCGGGCCGCCGGGCTGGGCCGCTCGGGCGCGGGGAGCTGGGCCGGCGGCGTCCGGAGCGGGGAGGCGCGGCGGTACCGCCCGGCTCTGCCCCGGTGCACCCCGCTGCGGTCGGAGCTGGGGCGGAGGCGGGGTCCGGCCGGGTGCCGGCCCGCGGGAGAGCTCGGAGCAGCGGTCGGCGGGGAGCGCGGTCGCGCGTGGGCTCCGGGCTCCGCGCGGCGTACTTTGGGGTGAGTGCTCACCCCGGGCTCGGAGCTACCCCATGAAGGAGGTTCTGATGAGGGGTCTGAAGTTTGCTTTTGATTATTGCCTCCTCCAGCTTCTTCTCCGGCCTCAGTTGTGTGCTTCAAGCACGCGGGTTGGAAATGGGGTTCCATTCTCCTGCGTACCCACGGGAGCCCCGTCCCCCACAGGAGCGCTCAACTTGGCCCAGAGCGCCTGCGGGCTGTGGGAAGCCCGGGGCCCGCTCTGCCCAGCCCGGTGCCCTCCTTTTGTTAGCACGGGAGCGGCTCGGTGCGAATGGCAGTGACCCCCACCCCCAGCTGGCTGGTAGGGAAGGCGGCAGAGATAACTTTGCTGTGTGCTTGAATTACCCTGTAAAGTGGAGAGAAAACACCTGGTGTCCGGGTTTTTAACCCCTGCAAGCTTTGATTTAAAAAAAGGGAATGAAAAAGCAGGCTTTCTTCCCTGCCTAGATACAGGCAGGCAGTGTGCGTCTCCCTTCACGATCGAGTTATGTCCTGTGCAAAATCTGGCCCACATCTGTGACAACATTGCGTGGTTGTGAGGACTGCCAGCTAATCTGTTTTTGCAAAGAGGGGTATGATAGTAGAATCAGCATTTTTGCAGAATGAATAGTGTGACTGCCATTTTCTTCCTTTCCTTGCTGGGTGCGGAAGATGTTTATTTAAAATCCATGCCCGATTTACTCTTATTCTGGGACGCACTTGCGTTAACTGCTTGTTAAGCATAGTTACTTCGACATAAGGCCGGGTTGCTGGTCAGCCAGCAACTGGTTGATAACAGTATTCCATTTATTTCCCTGTTACACTGAGTGTGTGTGTCGGTGTGCATTGCACACCACAAAGTCACTAACTGAATGGCAGCCCTTGGTGGACACAGCAATAGCGTCATCTTAACATTTATTTTCCATCAGTATGGTTTTTTTTTCCTGTTTTGAAAATGGTTGTTTTAATCCCAGATCTCTTAAGTCATGGTTTAAGTCTATGCTTTAATTTAGAATTGAGAATCGAGTTGCGTTGTTGTTTTGCTAAAGACTGACAAGGAGCTCTGTGTATTCTTAACACCTGGTGAGGGTTAATTTGGGTACATTTTCGGTAGGTAACTGTAAGGTAAGACAAGACCACAGTCCTGAGGTCTGTTGTTCTGGAGCCTTCTGTGATGAGACTTGATTGTCTTTAAGGCCTGATTGTCCATGCTTAGTTCAGAGTAGAAGGAAAACCTGGCCGGGAATCTGTCCCCAAACCTCCCTTTCTCTCCTTATCTCGGTGCTTCCTGTTCCAGTTGAAAAGAATCCCCTGTTCACAATGCAGTTAGGTCACTCCCACCACGTTAGAAGATGACAAAAGATAAACCTGCCTATTGTATATTTACAGAGCAGAAGAAGTAATTCTTACTTGTGCTTTAAAATCTTCACAGTAGGATTTATAGTCCAGCTAAGAAAAATTAACATTACTTACTTGCTGTGTGTCAGCGACCAGACGTTTATGTTTGTGATTTTGATATCTAATGAGATTGTCAGTTTACTAGCATTTTAATCCCCCTCCCAGCTGACTTGCAGTGACGTCATCTTCTTTCCTAAATAATTTAGCTAAAGGGAGAGGCTTTGCCTTGGTTGACTCCCCGGGCCTTGCAGAACGGGAACTGCTGTAGACACACTGGCGTGGCGGTAGGTGGCGCTGTGGAAGATGCTGATAGATGGGTGCAGGTACATTTAAGCAGAATTGAAGGGATTAATTGAGCAATTACATTGCTCGTCCTTGCCTAAAACACACTCTCGCCACACTGACGCATCCTACTTTTCTTATTAGTGTACATTTTCAGTGTGTGATGATTGCATTCATCATGGGAATGCGCATGTGTACGTACCACAGCTTAATTGGGTCACTTTTTCTTTTTCCCCCAGCCCTTCTTCCCTGTTTCCATATCCCCTCTTCCCATTTTTTATTTCCTCTTTCTTCCTTTCCACCTTCCTGTCTTTTTTCCCCTTCCCGTTTGAAAAAGATTTTCCTGCTTCCTAATATCTACCCCGCATTGGGCTCCTTCTCTATGCCGTGAATTTTCACACAAGTGAAGGCACTATTTAAACTCGTGTGTCTGATTCATTTCTTTAGGATTGTGGTCTCACGGATGCATCCATCTACCTGAAAATGCTGTAACTTATCCTTCTTTATGGCAGAGAAACACCCCCATTGTGTTGAGTACACTTTTTGCCTTCGTGGGAAGCTGTTTTCAGGGTTGAGCTGCCATAAATTGTGCCTGTTCCAAACACAGACCTGCACCTGTAACTGTGACGACTTCAGCTCTTCGGGAAGACACCGGGAGGAGCTGAAGCTGAGTCAAATGGAGCCTCTGGTTTGGATTTTTGAGGCGTCTCCATACTGCTTTTTATCAGGTTACATCAGTTTGCGCTGCCCCCAGCCGTGGAGAGGGTTCCTGTGTCTTCAGTCTCACCTGCGTTTGCTGTCGGTTAGTTTCTTGATGGTGGCTCCTCTTTCTGGAATGAGATGAAATCTCAATATTGTTTTAGTGCTTATTTCTCAAATGGCCAGTGAAACTGAGAGATTTTTTTTTTCATGTATTTGTTAGCTTTTTGCACTTTTTCATTTGAGAAGTGTCTGTTCCTTTCAGATGCTCATTTTTTGATTGGGATTTTTATCTTGAAGGTCTAATTTTTATTAAGTTCTTTATATATTGTAGATGTTGATCCTCTGTCCTGGGGGTAGCTGGCAACAATTTTTTCCCCCATTGTGTGAATTGTCTCTTTACTCTGCTTTTTCTTTAAGTTTTCTCTTCCTGTTTCAACGTTTTAAAGCATTTACTTGGCCAGACATTTTTCTCTGAGAGTCATAGTCATGTACATATTAGACACACATTGCTTGGGGAAAAAAAAAAAAAAAACACTGGTGGTCTGAATCTTTTCCTGTCTTTTGCACTAGAAATGGATCAACCTAATCTAAGCCCAGAGGAGCTCCACCTAACTGGACGGTTTTGTTTTGTTTTGTTTTGTTTTGTTTTTTTTCTTCTCAAGTACGAACTTAACTTTTAGCAGAGAGAAACAAATGGTAAAGAATTACATCTCTAACTTAAATTAAGAAAATAACTTCTTAGGGCCAGTTCACCTTTTTTCTTTCCCTACTTTTTACCATTTTTTCTGGCATTGTGGTGATGCAATGGGAATTTATGTGCAGGATGAAGACAGGAGCTTTGCAAAGTCATTACCCAAGAATACTGTATTTGTTCTGTGCAGCGCAGGCACCAAGGCTAAGAAATGCATAAGTACACTATGGATGTTTCTTAAGGCCAGCCTTGGGAACCGAACACCCCCAGGCAGTTGATGTACAGGGTCCCTTTGTCTCTCCAAACCTGTCATTGGTGTTACCTGCTTTCTGCAAGTGAAGCAGAGCAACCTGGCCGAGTCAGGTAGCTAGTAGGTAGCAGGTGCTGCTCCCTGCAGACGCTGTGGATGTGTCCCCTTGAGCCTGAGGAATAGCTCCTGCGCCCTCACTCTGTTGCTGTAGGTGTTCACTTCTTTGGGGTTTGGTACCAGCAGCTCCCCATAAATGAGTGATGGGCTTTGAATTTCGAGATAACATTGGTCATTGCAGAGTTCCAGTAAGAGAAATGAAGATGCTTTTCATTTTTTGAGGAAATCTCTGAAGGTTTTACAACACCTTGTTGAAAATTGCTTTCTTTAGGGTAGTTGAAGAAGGGGAAGGTGGCTTGGCTTCTTTGGAGGATGTGAGGACTAAAAAAATGGCTTAGATGCTGAAGAGCTTTGGATCTGTTCTGTCTCTGTCCCTCAGGTGACCTGGGAACAGCTGCAGCTTCCTCTCAGCCCGTGACTTTCTTTCTCCTGGGTTAAAGGAGCTTGTTTATTGTGATCTTTTAAGTTCATCAGCAGGGATTATGATTATTGAAGACACCTTGGCTCAAATCCTCTTTCCTACGGTTACCGTTTTACTAAAGTTTATTTTACACCTTTGATATTGCCTAATTAGCTATTTTTTTTTTTAAATGGTGATTTTGGGGGGGCTGGCTGGAGGGCATGGAAACTTCCACAGAAGTACAAAAACATAACATTTGAAATTTTCGCAGGAAAGAAACACTGTCCAAGTGTTCATCCAAGAAACTGTGTAGCACTGATTCTGTACTTGGGATGGATGTGAGTTATACGTGATGTTTAAGGAAGATTTTGGAAAGTAGTAGTTACAAATGAAATGTTTCATTGCAGTCGGTCAAGCAAGGGACTAACCATAACCAGGGTGTGAACTAAGCTTCTCTACCATTCCAGAATGCCGGCTCCTCCTGTCTAAGGGGACCTGGAAATTCCTTTTTTTTTTTGGGGGGGGGGCTTTTTTGTTTTTTTATCGGTACCAGGGATCGAACTCACGACTGCCTGCTTGCAAGGCAGGCGCTTATGCCGCTGAGCTAAATCCTCAGCCCCTGACCTGGAAATTTCTGAATGGCCCTTTTTTGATACAAAATAATGAATTTAAATCATGCATATGATTTTTGACACCGTAGGTTTTTTCCCTGCTTCTGAGGACAAGGGACGAAGTATGTTTCAACATTATGCTGTTTGAAAGGAAGATCTTATGAAAACCTGGCATCCCCAGACACGGCCTTTTCTTTTCTTTTTTTTTTTTTAACCTTAGTAGATGAAATTACTTCCTTTTTCCAGCATGTTTGGGG